AACAGAAACATAAAGTGTGCGATTCAATGAGAGAGACACGCGTATACACATTGCAACAAATACAAATTAATATTTTCAATATTTCCTTGCGCCATCTCATAATAATAACCAAAGATTCGTGTCCACGTCACTGTTTTAGAGAACATTAGACTAACATATGTCAAATATTCAACTCCAGTTTCTTGCCACTATGATAAATACTTCCCTGTAAGACTAAACCAGACATGAGTCATCCAACACATACCGCACCCACTTTCACTATCACAATTTTGGCACATCTCCAGTAGACTATACATAAAAGTAAAAGTGGCCACTTTGCAGTTGGAAGAACACCAGAAAATTATATGACACCCCCCAACTGATTTCGAAAGTCAAATACCTCATTTGTTATATTGTTTGAGACCAGAAACTCACGAGTGTATCACGAAATAACAGTAACTAGATACTGAATTCGTGTGAGCCTTCTTAGCTTGCCAAAAAATATATAGTGGTAGTTAATAGTTACTAGTAGACGTAGTTATATTATTACAGTTCGATGTGGGAGGTCCTATAAAATTATTTTAATGCCAGCGAAACTGAAACGCACCATAAATACAAGATTTTACAGCTCCACATATACCGCTGACAAATATAGTAATCTTCTATATATCCCTGGTTATTATATTTCGATGCGGGAGGTTTCATAGAATCATATACTAGTATTAAATGCCAACGAGCTCATGATCACCTCCTCGTAATCTGTAGCTGTACACAAGAACCATCAAAACGAGCAGTATGGTGTCTTTGATGTCTTTGCTGCATTATCTTTATTTGTCAAGTAGTACATGCATTTTGACGTTTGCCTTAAGTGGCTAAGCACGAGAGGGAGAGGGAGAGAGAGACAGAGAATGAGAGACAGAGAGACAGAAAGGGAGACAGAGAGAGAGAGAGAGAGAGAGAAAGAGACAGAAAGAGTGTTAGATTCAGTCAAGGTTTTAACTCGAGTGTAACCTTCTGTGGAGTGATTGTAGGGACTTGACCTGTGTGTGAACCGTGTACTACAATAACATAAACAGCCTATGACAGACTGTCCGATTGGACAATGTTTACTCACGTTATCTGTGTTCAGGGGCACGTCAAGGGATATAAGCTGATATCTTTGCTATATATCAGTGTCAAATGTTGTAATGTAACTCCATCCAAGTGTGATTGAAATTTTAATACTACAGGAAATATGATAAGGACATTTGGCTGTTACTAAAATGATGGCGACATTTGTTACATTACATTCCACATATATCAACTATCGCCTTGTAATTGCAAGAAATGCGATAAGACCAAATTCTTGGACGACGTTGGTCTGATAAAAAAAGGCACAAAGATACAGCATTTAAAAGGAGGAATCTGTCAAGGGTTTGTTAGCGATAATGCAGGTGCGTCCTCTAGCGGACTGGAATATAATCACAGCTTTTGAATACCGTACAATAAGTTCAGCTTTTATAATGTCTGCATAATATCAGTGTGTGTGTGTATGTGTGTGCGTGCGTGCGTGCGTGTGTGTGTGTACGAGCTACCCCTACGGTAGAGAAAATGTTGCACACGTTGTTGTTTATCTATCGTTGTTGATGTTTACTGTTTATGTTTATGTTTACAGGTGTGGCCAGTCATCGCCATGGTGACCATCGGAGGTGCCTTCCTGGGCATGGCGATCAGAACCAAGTCTTACGTGGGGAACCAGGGACACAGAGAACACTACAAGCACGACGAGGAAGAATAGACAGATCTTATATATAAGTTACATCTTGTGTATTTCCGCAACTTGGCAGCAGTTCGTAAAGTTTTATTGTGATTTGACACATAAACATTAAGCACAGTGACTTTTGAAACTTTTATTTCAAATACCACATTGCAGACAAAAGTCTGAATTGCGTCAGTATTTACAATCCATTTTGCTCGTTTTAAAGTACACCACTTTGAAAGATGACTACTACACGGACCTTGTATCATGGTCCATTGTTTGTCAAGAATTCACTTCCGTTTTTGCGGTGAATACTAGTATTGTGATTGCACCACTAAAATGTTGATTCTGTATCGCACTGCCAGTATTGTAAGGTTGCAAGGTGTATTTGGTCTTGAAAATATCAAATATCTTACCAATAAATAACTACCTAACTGTGTACTGCAATGTGCTACTGAGGGAAAAACAGGGTAGATGAAACTGTACACTGAATGTACATTCAAAGCTACCAACACGAGAACTAAGGAAGAAAATGCTTGAATATATTCAGTCCTGTTAAGGCAACAATGCAATAAAGTGTTGTCAATATTCGATCTATTAAAAATATATGACACGTATTCAACAGTGTGAAACAAGGACAAAATCATAACTAATATACTCAGATATATTTTACCTCTAAGTTATTCAGTTCAGACTACCTTGTCACAAAGCGTCTATCAAGTATGTGATATTTTGTACATAGTACTGAGGTGTATCAAATAAAGTAAACTGCTGCTGGAAATGATTTTGTTTGTCTGTCTGAAAAAAAAGTTTGGATGTGTGGATAATAAAAAGAGGGCTAGACATGTAAAACGAGTAAAACAACATCACAACAAAAGGCCTCAAACATCTGATTGGAGATGCATTTTCGCCGCCATTTTGTAACCTTATCTCTTGTGAGTCAAGGTCATTAAGTTTAGTAAACGAAGCTGAACCACCCTTAGTTGCGGGCTCAATGACTCAGCAAGCAACTGCTTACTTTAAGACTTCTATATAATTCAACACATAAACCTTGGCTGTAATAATTGTCTTGACAAAAAAATCTTGAAATTTGAGGGAAAAAACAACTTAAATACAGTGTGTGATTATCAGTGACTTGACAGTTGTCAGAGGTCAAATTCAAAATGGCGGACGCAGAACAACATGTCGGTTCGGAGGACGCCCTGTGTGAGTGCCGTCGGGGGTGGGAAGAACTGAAACCCGGAGAGAACCCGTGTTTCCACAGGACACGGGTCCACCCGTAAGTTGATACCGTACGTTGTGGTGCTTCTAAACACACCTGATGTCCACTGAACTTACCTGTAACGTTTATGACAGTAAACAAGAACACCTGTAATTAAAGGGGAGGGGTCCCGTTTGGAGATAACGTTAAACAACATTGAATGAATAACTTTATTGCACAACAATTGTAACAGGTATCGCAATTTGTATTGTGAGTCAGTCGTGTTGAACTGGTAAGTCATAACTTCTAAAGAATGCATTTATTTTGGTATGTACAAAAGGCACTCAAAGTAAAAATTGTGGTCCGTGGTACAGCGTCACCTCGCGGAGTACCATGGAATTGCACCACTGTAGGCTAAGAAGAATATTGGTCAGTTTTGTCCCAACGGTAACATTAGAAAACCGTCAAAAATGTGGAACAAATCTAGAGATTTGACGTTTTGACTTGTACCACACCCTTTGAAGTTATGAAGATATTATGTTTAACCTTATGTTGTTTCTTCTGAAATGAGAAAACATGTTTTCTATGGTACAAACTATAGTGTACCTAGAGATTGTAGTATATTTTGTAGTCAGTCTCTTTCATTGTCCGATTTTACAACCAGTGCTCTCATCAAGCACATCGATCAGCTGACAGGAGGTCAAGAAGGGCTCAGGTTCCTACTGCCGCTGTGTGGGAAATCACTGGACATGAAATGGTATGTAACGTTATGTCATTGAAACAGAACGCAGTATAATGGTTATGCATCTAAAACATTGCCAAAGGCTGACAAGCTTTTCTTGCTATAAGGACACAGAGACGTGGTATTGTTTTAGGACATCTGACAATGTGTTTAAGTGCTCTAGGAGGTAGTATTTGAACTACCAAAACCCTGATTCCTTCCCTTCGCTACTCTGTGAATGCTTTGTTAAAATAACACCGACTATTCTTCATACAAAAGGTGTCCTTGTGTTGTTCAGTGACCCGTTAAGTAGTTCATACCATAGTTGTGGATGCTATATACATGGATGGCCTTGTATCAAGTAAGCAATTGGAAATGTGAATGAGACATATGATGAGTTGGGGTTCCCTCGTGTATTTGATATCGTGAATCCATGCATTCAATGTGTTTGCAATCATTACAAGTGTAACCCGTATAGGACAATGCCTCTTATAATGACACGAAGCTGACAATCAGGTACTAGTATCTGTGACCTTGAGACGTCAGGGGTCAAGTCACCTGTGCCTGGTTTCCCAGTCAGTGTTCACGAAAACCGTCGACCCTGCAATGTTCGTGAGACTTAGATGGTACCCTTAGGCCACACCAATTTAATTTGGGGCTATAATAGAGTTTTTATTTTTATTTTTTCTCTGTCGCTTCATATTTTTTTCTGAAAAAATCCGAGAACCAACAAATTAAATTAGTGTGGCCTTACCCTACTGCGAGGGGTGAGATGAGTATGCATGGGAAACAAGATGGCGCACAGTCTTGGAATGGAAGACGCCAAAACTCGGTCAAAGTGCGTCCTTTTAGTCTTTTTAACGACAGTTCAAGGAGGTAAGCCAGCGTCAGTTAGCTTCTTAAGTTCTTCTGGCTACTTTGAGCAGGAATTCTTTGGAAATCTGAGGCAAATACTTGAGAATATTCGCGTTTTTTACGTGTCTGTGTTTGTAAATATTGACTAATCTCCAAGCAGATGTTTGGTGGTTTCGCGTTGCGCGTTGGTTTAATTACGGGTAAACTGTACTTCTGTGCGTGAAAATTGTCTATTTTGGTAGAAAAATGTGACAGTGTTTCATAATTTCACATCTGTTTTGACTTAATAACCTGTTAACCCGTATAGGACAGTGCCTTTTATAATGACACGAAGCTGACCATCAGGTATCTGTGACCTTGAGAGGTCAGGGGTCAGGTCACCTATGCCTGGGCACAGTCTTGGAACGGAAGACAAAAAACTCGGTCAAAGTGCGTCCTTTTGGGCTGTTTAACGTCAGTTTAAGGAGGTAAGCCAGCGTCAGTTAGCTTCTTAAGTTCTTCTGGCTACTTTGAGCAGGAAATCTCTCGGAATCTGAGGCAAAGTGTTGAGAAAATTCGCATGTTCCCAGCTGACTGTCAACTTCTGTTTGTAAATATTGATCTCAAAGCAGATATTGGGTGGTCGTGGTGCGCGTTGGTTTAATTCTTATTACGGTTGAACTGTATTTCTGTGCGTGAAAAAAATGTGTAAGTTGGTAGAAAAATGTGACAGTGTTTCAGAATTTCACATCTGTTTTGACTTTATTGTTTGAAGATTTTAGGTCCCTTGGTATAATTAGTTGTACAAACGCAGCAAATATAAGTTAAATACCCTGTAAAACTTAAACTTAGAGAAGTTTAAAAAACACATCTTGTTTGATCATGTTAATGTTCACAAGAATTATAGACTGTGTCTGTATTATTGTTTTTACATATTGAGAAAAATATTTTAGAACATTCAAACCACACTCACTGAGACAGTCATTTTCTAATTTCTTGCAACTTTTTTGCTAACTGAACCTCTTCTTTCTGATTATTAGTATTACAAAACTGCTGTGTTATATATGAGTGAGCCTGAAGTCAGTTACATGTACCTGGTTAATATGCTATCTGCAAGCAATACATGTATGTTAATGTATTTGTTACAATTGTCAAGTGAAGGGTGGATCATACACATCATACAGCACATTAATTAGACGTCACTAGTATACTACTATACAAAAAGTCAAGTATCAACAAATTGAGCATAGTAAAATGAAACAAACTGCATAACTGTCACCAACTTGAAATTAATTTCACATTATTGTCAATATCAATACCACATTATGCAAGTACATGGTGATTCATAGAATAATAGATACAATGAAATAAGTTAGATTATTTACTTAGATACAATAAAATGTTACTGTAGATACATTGTACAATAAAATATTAACTTGGCTTTAAGTTGGCAGATAATAACACATACCCTTGTATTAATGGTACAATAGAATAAACCCCAAGTTGGCACTAATGTGGAAAATAATAACACTTATTAGGTCAGTCTCTTCAACTTTCTACTCCCTCGGAATGGCATGAAGATTGAAATCTTCGGCCGTATTTGTAACCCCGACTTTGCCTGTGGTGGATGGTAGAGGGGCGCCATCTGGCAGTTTGAATGTGAAGTGCTGCATGAGGGAGGTGAAGAACAGAAACAGCTCCATCTTGGCCAGCTGTTCCCCCAGGCACACACGCCGACCTGCCAACATAATACAGATGTAAGAAACAGGAGGAGCGAGTAGTAACAAAATCCCTCCTGGTCCCGGGCCGGGGTTCGAACCCACGACCTCTCGAGCACCAGCTTCAGACTTCGACGCTCTAACCACTGGGCCGAAAAGGTCTAGACCCATCGGCCGGGTCAGTTGGTAGCGCCTTTAAACCCCCCACTGTTACACTACTCCCATATGGTGTAGTGGTTAGCTAGGATTTGGCGCTCTCACCCCCAAGGCCCGGGTTTGAATCCTGGTGTGGGATCCACCGTAAGAAACAGGAGGAGCGACTAGAAACAGATAAAATCCCTCCTGCCCCCGAGCTGGGGTTCGAACCCACGACCTTTCAAGCACCAGCTTCAGACTGCAACGCTCTAACCACTTGGCCAAAAAGGTCTAGACCCATCGGCCGGGTCAGTTGATAGCGCCTATAAACCCCGCACTGTTAACGTTACACAGAGCTCAAATTGAAGACAGCATTATGTAGCATGTCGGCAGAACATACTGCACCTGCGCAAAACCTATAATGTATTATGCATAGCAGAATGTCTCATATATGATGATATAAGGTCGTATTCGTGCATATAAGGTTGACATTCTATCTGTAGTTTCCAAATGCTGTGTTGGAAAATATATATTGTCTGCAACGGGCAAGATTATGATGCAACATTGATCAAACATCCAGCAAAAAACGTGAAAAATAAGGTTTCAGGCAGGCGCGGTACATTTGTACGTTCTGCTGACGTGCTGCATTACAATGTAAGTGCATGATGTTAGGATCAAACAAGAAGTCACCAAATTTGCTCCCAAAGGTCCTACACCAGCCTTTAAAAATAAAAATACTCAGGGGAGAACCGTAGTGTGTATTTATGTTACTTTGATGATTGGATCCTTTCAATTTTTCTTTTGGCCTTCTGATTGTTAAGGCAAAGGATATACCATAGTTCAGCACTAAGGACAGGGAAAGTCCTTCAGCACTAAGGACAGGGAAGGTCCTACCATGTCCATGACATGATTTTCCTACTTACCCATAGAGAATGGGATGAAGTTGTCCCCCTTTCTGAACTGACCGCTGTCGTCTAGAAATCTCTCAGGTTTGAAGACATCTGGGTCAGGGTAGACCTCGGGATCATGCAGAACTGCCCACAGGTTGGGGAACACAACCGTGTCTTTCGGTATGTCGTAGCCAAACAGGGTGGTGTCATGGGAGGTGTTGTGCATGACGCTGACTGCTGCGAGGGGGTTGATACGCATAACTTCTGCGAGGACGGCCTCTGTGTAGGGCAGCTGGCTGCGATGGCTGAGAGACGGGGTGACGTTCTGCCCAATGGTTTGGTCGATCTCTCGGTGCACATTCTCTTGTACGTCAGGGTGTCGCAGCATGTACAGGAGGGCCCAGGTTAGGGTGCTGGATGTGGTCTCTGTTCCAGCGATAAAAAGGTCTCCAATCAGGTACTCAAGCTGTCTGTCTGTGAAGTCATTGCCTTTTTCTTCTTCCTGGAATAGTAGTAGTAATAATATGGGATATTATTTCTATATACATAAAATGTATCATCAATTCATGATTCTCTTTCCCTCTTTTTTAGCCTCTCTCATTCTCTCTCTCTTGGTCTGATCTTGAAAGACTGGTAGACTGGCGATGGGTAGATGGGTGGTCTGTGGATGAGGATGGATGTATGTATGTAGGGATGGATGGATGAGTGGATGGATGTAGGGATGGATGGATGGATGGATGGATGCGGGTGGGTGGATGGATGGATGGGTGGATGGATGGATGGACGGACGGACGGATGAATGGATGGATGGATGGATGGATGGATGGATGTGGGCGGATGGATGGATGGATGGATTGACGGACAGACAGATGGATGGATGGACAGATGGATGGATGGAAGGATGGATGGATGAATGAAGGGATGGATAGATGGACAGACGGACGGACAGATGGATGGACGGTCGGGTAGATGGTTGGACAAATGGACGGATGGATGGATGGACAGACGGATGGATGGACAGACGACAGGAAAAAAGACTTTTACAAAAAGTACATGCATTTAGAGGAAAAGCATGGTTCAAGTTGTATAGTAACTTACAGAAACTGACAAGTAATAATTACAAAATGTAAGACCACCTTGTTCCTCATCTCCAGCAGAAATGTATCGATGAAGTCTCGTATGTCGTTGGGGTCAAAGGTCTCCTTGTGCTTGGTGATGTCCTCTCGCATGACCGAAAGGCAGGTTTCCACGTTGCTCTGTACTTTGGCGATAGCTCTCTTGACCACTGGAATGTGTCGTGTCCAGGGGATGAAGTTAGCTATGGCTGATACTTGTTGCTCAAAACCAATATTTTGATCGAAAGCCTCCATGATCTTTTCAAACTTCTTGTCATTATACTCGAAGCGTTTGCCAAGTACTATGGAACAGATGACATTACCAACTGCGTTCTGTAGCAGAA